CCACACCTGACCAACTTAACGGGCATACAAGGATGTCCGATGATGAGAACCCCGAAGATCCCGAGGATGAGGAGGAAAGTAACTATCTCCCCGAATCCGAGGAGGAGGTCAGTCTCAGACCCCGCCAGATTTCATTGTCCCTGAGGACCCATTCGAGCAAGAAAGGTTTCGACGACGACTCATTGCAGCCGCTCGAAGCTTGAAAAAGAAACATCAACAACTTCAAGTTGATCAAAACACGCTCAATGATAAGTGGGTAGAGAGGTCCTCGAAGTCGAACAAAACTTTGATTCACGGAGTGAGGAACAAGTTAAATCCTACCCATGACGGTGTTTACTTCCAGCATTCGATGACGAAGTCGCCGAAAACGTGCCATTCAAGCACGAACGAGTTGATCAACCAGGCCGTCCTCCTCGGGGACGGGACATGCCAACAGGGGAAAATAGAAATCCCCTCACAATACCTCGCCATGAAGGCCAGGACCCAGTCCAATACCCTGAGTCGTACGATTTGCGAAGGAGATTAACGGCAAACCCTGCCCCAGCTTTAGATCCACATATGGATCAAGAGGACATGCGCCCTGCTGGGCAGGTCGGCTATGAGGCCTGGTTGGACATGCATGGGAAGGCTCGGGAGCAGACACATGCTCGGATGCCAATGGATATCTAGCACGAAGCGGCTCGTTTTCGAGGGCCTGCTCACCCAATATGTTTCACGGACGAGGTCATGGAGCACCAGTTCCCTTAAGGGTTTAAACCCGTTAATATCGAACAGTGCGATGGAACTACTGACCCGGCTGTGTGGGTTGAAGACTTCTCCACATCCATATGGCTCAAGGAGATGATGTGCGTGCCATCAAGTACCTACCGCTGAAACTTAAAGGACTGGCGAGGTATTGTCTCAATAGCTTGCCCGAAAACTCTATCGGGAGCTCGTAGCAGCTCGAGGACGCCTTTAGGACGAACTTCCGAGGTACCTATGTTCGCCCCCCAGATGCCGATGACCTAAGCCACATCATTCAGTAGCCTCGCGAGTCCGCTAGGAAATTCTGTAATTGGTTCTTAACTAAAAAGAATCAAATAGTAGATTGTCCTGACGCAGAAGTGATCGCTGCTTTCAGGCATAGCATCCGAGACGAGTGGCTTGCACGACAGTTTGAACAAGATAAGACGAGAACCATGGCAACCCTTACCTCTTTGATGACCCGATACCACACGGGCGACGATAGCTGGCTGGCTCGTAGCACTCAGAGCAATGAGGTCGGCACCTCGGAAGTACGCAACAGAAACAGAAGGCCTAGGCGCAACAAGAACAACAAGCGTCGACACAAAACCAGCGGCAGTGATGTTGATGACGCAGCTGTCAACGCTAGATTTAGCAATCCAAGGACTGACCAGAAAAAGAAGCCCTTTAAAGCGAACAGGGATGGTCTTACCACACTTGATAAAATCCTCAACAAGACTTGCCAGGTTCATGGCACTTCGGACAAACCTGCCAATCACACTAACCGGAACTGATGGGTTATCAAGCAGGCCAAAAAGATTGCAGTCGAAGGCCTGGGCAAGAGTCTGTCTCGCAGCGAGGACACTCGCGGTCCCTGAGCTCCTATGACTAAACCTGAGAATGGTTATTAAAAAACTGGGTGAAACGGTTTGGTTCTTACTTTGGGTTTGATTGATTCAGGTTTTATTGGGCCGAATCTTTTTTAGTTTGGTTTTGGTTTGGGCATGTGAAGAAACCAATTTGGATATAGTTGGTTATGGGCTTAAACAATTTGGTTATTAACGGCTATAAACTATGGGTCCAAACTGGTTTCTGGGCATTGGTTATGTGCAATAAGTAAGGACGCATCGATAACGAGTATCTTTGATTCGCGTACATGCTGCGATACACTATGTAATTCTGTATTATGAGGAAACACCACATGCAAATCGAATGTATTTGCTTGTGCTTTTGCTAAGCAATTGGTTTTAATACACTTGCCAGTAAGCTTTTCAGTTGTGGGCATTGTCTTTTTGACTCTTGCTGTGTGTTGAGTGTATCTCAACGATAACTTTGTTTCCAAACTGTTGTAGATACACTTATGCCTTTTCTATGTCATTTGCTTCTTAACATGTCGATTTGTGCAATCATATATACATTGAAGCAAACACATAGTTATGTATTGGGTTTAAACTCACGGTTATGTATTGAGTTTAAATTAGTTTAGGTGAAAAAAATGTTTAGTTTTGGTTGGGCTGAAAATGGCATTAAACGGGTATAGTTCAAGTATGGTTTTGAGAGATACATGTACGAGTATAGTTCAAGTATGAAACCATTTTCAGATTTACCTACGACACCCATGGAAGCGCATTGTATGATCCGCGCCCCTCCATGGACGGCTTGGCGCTGCCCATGCCAGTGTCACCGCTGCTGCGGCTCCGCTGCTCCGACTTCATTTAAACCTCCACGCCACCCTCATCGCCGCCTGTTCTTTGAGACGAACAATGAGAGATGTGCAGGAGCTTCGCCACCTTCCACAGGGACGGGGGGCTGGGACGCAGCCGCGGCGGCGAATTCAGCATCAAAGGGAGGGCGAGGGGATACTCGGCCGCCTCCAGGCGGAGTAAATTTTTTTGCTCCTCTAACTGGTTTAGGAGATCAGCTAGGTGCCAGTTAGAGGAGTAAAACAGGCGGAGTAAAAAAATTTACTCCTCTAACTGGTTTAGGAGATCAGCTAGGTGCCGGTTAGAGGAGTAAAACTGAAATCTTCAATGGATTAAGATCTGTGACAAACATGTTCGGATTTCAATGGATTAAGATTCAGTGTGTGACCAACAGCAAGCAGAACACGATTCGCTACAACCCCCCAAAACACGAGAACCTGCTTGCTACCTCAACTGGGATGGAATCATGGAACCGTAAGCAACAACGCCTGAAGGTAGTTTTTTGCACTGAAAACGAACCGCTCCAGTCCGGTATCTGTTACGCCGAGCACGTGAAAGTAAATGGGGAGCAGAGCTCATGGTCTCTTCTTAGTCGGCGTCCATCTCTTCCAACGCTGCCTGCGCTGCTGCCTTGGCCTGCTCCAGAAGATCATTTGGAACCTACACGAGGTATGAAAAGTTAGCAAGGAATTCAACAAAGGGCAACTCTGTGGCCTATGTACGGTAGCTGTGGAGTTCCAAGGGAGGGGGTATTTTTTATGAGTGGCCGTTTATCACCTTCTCATGCTGACGGTTAGATTCATCGCACACCCAGCTCAGTTCCAGCTCAAAAGATTTGTCTTTCGCTTCATCGTGTACACCATAAATTCTACATGTACAGGAAAAAAAGTCAGCCTAGTAATTATTTCGGGTATGGCAATTTGTACTAGAGTATTGCAGCCACAAATACTCCTTGTGGGAGTAAAACCATGATATGGAGGATCAACAATGTTGTTCCTTCTGAGAGAAAATCAATATTTGTTGTGACTAGTAATTACTGGCCATCTTCATGCTTGAGCAAGTAAATGTACATGACTAACAAGCTTTCAGGCCATTCATGACAGAAATCTAGGTGGTATATCCTAAAGATGAAACTTGCAGTAGGATGGCAAAAGATTTAGGACATACATCTTGGCAACCTCAACAATGCCTTCCCTGCAGGTTAGCTCAGAAAGCTTCAATTTCTCTATCTCCCTGTATGACAAGATTAAGATAGATCAATTAGAATGGAGAGCCACTGTTTGTGGCCAATAAAAATACATAGTAAACATCATCATAAGTATTTTGTGCAGATGCATTTGACAGCCGCTGCGAACAGTAAAAAGGGACATTCTACAAAATTTTGAATCGCACAAGTTCTTTGTAATATAAAGCTCTCAATGTCATAATGTATCTGAAAACATACACATCAATGGCTACAAAGCTGCAAGGGGAAAGTAAATACAGATCAAGTTTTAGTTAATTAACAACTCTTCCACTGAAAACTAAATCAACGGAAAGAACAATAAAAGGACAAAGAGATAAACGGTCAATGTATTTAGACTATGTAAATGATGTGCATCTATGATCTAAAGTACGTTAACATCAATGGTCAGTTTGGTATTGTGGGCCTTAACTGCGGAAGCTAGACAATTCAAAGAATTACACATACCAGTTCTGGTACAATATTTCTGTTATGGCTGTAAAGAAGTGGTTATTTATCAAAATGCTAAACTGAGGGTCTGTTTGGTTAGTTGCAGTGCTTTTTTTTTCTTCTAAATTTTGTGCGAGAAGTGTGACAAGTCACAATTTATTGCTCAGCAAACTTTTCATCACAGGTGTGCCAAGATTTCACAATAGATGTATCTGACGTGTAGGGTGCACTGATGCAGTTTTAAGAAAATGTGGCGCATCAAAATTTGTCAAAGAAACAAATACGAGCTTAACCCAAACCTGCCTAACTCGTATGTAGCAAACTGTGGTAAGCAATAAAACACCACCTAAGCTGTGTTCTGCTAGTGGCAAACCTAACATAAGCAATAAGTATTTCGCCCGTTGAATATGGAACGGCTAAACTACTACCTGCATAAACGCTAAATGTGGATGATCATTTGATGAGCAGCTTTAAGAATATCAACAGCATGTTTACTTCCTTATTCCTAAAGATCTACTTTGAAAAATTAAAATGGTATTTATAAAAACGATTCATGAATGTGCCATGCTTTAGCCGTGCTAGTGGTTTGCAACAAAACAGAAAATGGCCACTACAGGAATCATACAACAGAAAAAAATTAGTGAAAACTTGATTGGCTTACGTTTTTGCAGCCTGTCTTCCTTTACCCAGAGCAGCACCAAAATATTTCTGTCAAAATTCAACCATTAAGTCATAAATTCCAAATGCGTCTACTGCTACTAAAAGCAGCACTGCACATCTTAATCCATGTACATAAAGTTGTCTGTTTACTATGAAATTAAACTTGCCCGGTCACTGACAGGAAATATAAATATGTGTTATCTAGCCAACTTATACCTTGCTCGGTCCTAATAAATAATGGCAAAATAGAAGAACTACCATGTCTTAGATTGAGAACTCACATATGAGAGCCCTGAAGGTTCGATCATGTAGAGCTGTGGCCCATCCCTATCATAACCTCCAAGAATAACTCCACAGCCAAAAGGCCTGAGACAGGAGTATAAAGTGTATCAAACTATCACGTAACATGTTGGAGGCAACCACCTTCTTGAACAAGAAGAACATCTTAACTGCCTTACCTGAGCCACCAGTAGAGTGTACACAGATGAACGTAGCTAGCTACACGATCAGCTAATTCCTTCACAGGCATGGGTTCTCCATATACCCTGGTGGATTACAGCTTTAGGTTACAGTTCTACAAACATTTGGTATGAAAATCAAAAGTCTCACTAATTCTCACTTTTCATAATTGGCAGCTTCTGACTTTGCTCTGGAGACCACCTGCCTACCGTCTGCTGCTAACCCAGCCACAGCCTGAAAAAGAGAACAGGAATTAACTTCATTACCAAATGCAATCCGTTACAGTAAGAAGAAAGGCAATTATAAAGAGACATGAAAGGGAACACTGCAGAATATATATCCTAAATAATTGGTGCATTCGCAGAGAGAGACCAGCCTGTACGTAACAAAAAAGGAAGAGAGATTACCAAGCCAGAGTTCCGGTGAACAGAGTGAAGTCTCCGATTCGACCCGGCAAGTATCATCTTCGATGTTATCAGCTTCTCCACACCCTATAGACCAATATATTAAAAGGTTATCACACAAAAGAAGCACAGAGTACCACCCCATCCGGGTAAAAGGAAATACAGCAAATAACCACTTACGAGGACAACTCCATCTTTGCACTTGATCCCAACAATCGTCCTACACAGAATCATCCAAAGTTTCATCATGAAGTTGCACAGACAGAGAAGGTCAGGAAAACAGGGGAGGGAGCTAGGTCACACCCGCTGTTGTCGACGGCCTTGCCAGCATACTCGACCTGGAAGACACGGCCGTCCGGGGAGAAAGTGGTGACGGACAGATCATACCCGGTTCCTATGCTACTCATGGTTAAGACTTAAGTCGCTTCAATCACCGAACCGTTTATACAGTTCTCTCCTGAAAAAAAGAGATCACGACAATCATGTTAAGAATAAGCAGGACAAGCATCACTGCATCGGGGAACAAGCATATGCAGGAATCGTTCAGATTTCAGACAGATGTACTACGCGAGGCATTTTGGCGGAGTTGTAAGATGCCTAGTGATTAGTGAACCTTGTATTGCAAACCAATCCGAGGTCTGTTGCACATTTGCTAATGAAGCTACCTGCCTACAGCTTTAAGAAAAAGCGCTGCCTGCCTATGTGAAAACCTGGAATTCCCCTGGTACCAGGATGCGGTCTACACTGCAACGCTACAGATACGGCTAGTTGCCGCTGGTGGCTCCAGGAGCGGACCTAACATAGGAGGGGGACGAACAAGGTTTCGGCCGAATTTCAACCGCGCAGCGAGCGATTCTACGACAGACTGTAGCGGTGAGCGCGATGGGGCGGGGGGACGGGGGCGCTTACCGATCCCGGCGAGCGGAAGAGGCCGCGTCGACGGCGGCGCGGGCGAGGGGATCGTCGGCTCCGGCTTGTGCCGCAAGAAGGTGGGGAGTGTGGGTTTGAGAGAGCCGCCGGGACGGACGGGCACGAGCTGTGTTTGCGGGGCGGAGGCGTGCGCGTCGGACTCGAACCAGGGAGGCAGCCGGCTGACTGCGTCGGACCAGCAAGTCGGGTTAGACTACGAGGGCTGGGCTGGGCTGGGCTGGGCTGGGCAGGGGCCCATTCCGCGATGCGTCAGCTTCGTCTTAACGTGGGCTGCACAAATGTTTTGAATCAAGGCGAAACGTGAAGGTTTTGAATCAGTTCAAATCATTCATGAGAAAGGAGAGTCAAATGTTGAAGCACACAAACCTGGCAAGAGCTTCTGCTACTTTAGGTTTTGCGAGGCAATAGACCAGACCTTATTGTAATTTCTTCCAACATTTTTTGAATGAATAATAAAGTGCTTCGACCGCTCAAAAAAAAAATCTAGGGTGCACAATATTTTCTATATTTTTTTTATGCGGGGGATCTCTTTGTAATGTACGGACATATGTCCTTGCCTAGTCTTTTTTTTTTTTGGAAAAAAACGTTCAACCATTCATCAACTATCATGGGAGTATATAACCTTCAACTATCATTGGAGTACATAACCTTGTACAATGTGAGTGCTTAGTGAAAGAAACCATTTTTTAAGCATATGTACTCCCTCCGTCCCATAATATAAAAGCGTTGACACTACATCAGTGTAAAAAACGTTATTATATTATGGGACGGAGGGAGTACTTATTTGTAGAGGGTATATGCGCAATTAGACATCTATCCTCCTATAGAGATAAGCACCAGTGCTTAAGCAAAACTTTGTTTATTGTACTAAGCATTCCATAAGCACTTTGCGTCGTACAAGGCCTTATTTGTTCTCGGGTATAGTAAAATATTCTCGATGTGCTTTTTTGTCAAGAAAATATGTGTACAATTCTTTTGATTATATGAGACAAAAATAAGAAATGATAGGAGGATTTTAATGAAAATATGGGGCGCAAGAAATCAGAAAGTTTTTCAAGATGTTGATGCTGACGTTTCATCGACTATCCATAATATTTGCTTTGACCTAACTCTATGGTCACATAGGCTTAAATCTCCCTTGCGTCTGTCTTTGGTGTGATTCCGTGTAATCTGTGAAATATATCCGTGTGAGGAGCCTTTCCCCTCATTGGTGAATGTTAAAAAAAACAGGAGGATTCTACATGGAAAGAATAGAAAGATAATTTACGAGGAAAAGAAGAGATGAATTGTGCACATTGGTATTGAACACCAATTTAGAGAAGGCATGCGGCGAAACTTAGTAGAGTGTTTCATTTTGGTAAAATGCCACTGGTTCAAATCTTGTCATGCCTACTAAGGACCACGGAGCCATGCCTCACGAGGGCATGCATAAGTGTGAATCAATATCTCCCCTAGTGAAGATCCCGAATGCTAATGTTGTTTTAGTTGAAGAATTAATTGATCCGAAGAGTTGGGGTGGGACAGAGATAGTGTCATTGAGAACTTAGTCACACCGGATGTTGATGCCATCTGCAAGATACCAACTAATATTGCAATGGAAGATTCATGTGCATGGAATGCCGAGAAATTATATAACTTTACAGTTCGGTCTGCCTATAAGCTCCTGGTTGCTAATCAATTACACGATGATCAACCAAGCAACTTAGGCACTGGCATGGGCAAGGTGTGGAAGGAGTTATGGCATTTACAGGTCCCCAAAGTGAGAAACTTCTGGTGGAGGGTGATTTACAAGTTTGTACCGTCTCAGGCCGTTCTTTGACATATTGAGAGGATTCCCTTTCATGAAGCATGCGGAGAAGATGAGACCATTGTACACGCTTTTTCGAAATGCACTTTCGATCGGTTGTTTTGGGAAGAGCTAAAGGGAGCTTACACCAGTCAAAGTCCTAGATTTGCACACAAACAGTTGGGCAGTTTTTTCTTGAAACAGAGGCAAAATATTTGCCTCATCTATTAATTAAGAAGAGAATAGAGTTTGTATTACAAGGCCACGAGGCCCGCCGACAATAAGCATGAAAATACTTCCTGGGTACAATGGCTCCCAATTTTTTTTGCACCCGCCGAGACCCAAAACTTGGTCTCGTCTTTGATGGCCTTGAGCAAGATGGTCAGTGGCTTGCTCTTTTGACGGAGCATGTGTGAATTTATCTTGTTCCAAATGGTCCAACTAATGAGCATTGTGAGCGATGCCATTGCTTTACGTTTGGGGTATTGTTGCCAGAAAGGTTGACGCACCAATCTTTGATGGAGCTCTCTAGGTGCCAAGAGGAGGTGTCAATGTTTTCCAAGTGCGGCCACTCATTAGCGAGGTTCGAAAGACGAAGGGTGAGACGACAATTGAAGAAGAGGTGTATTCCAGACTCTTGTTCTCTCTTACAAAGAGGGCAAAGGCCGCAATTTGGCTACCCACACTTGGTCAAGTGGTCGACCGTCCAAATTCTATCTTGGATGGCCAACCAAGCAAAGAATTTGACTTTGGGCGGAGCCCACACCTTCCAAACCATGTGATCCATAGGAGAGTACAAGGTGCCCATAAATTGTGCCGAGTAAGCGGTTGCTGCCGAGTATAGACCACGCTATGTGAGTTTCCAAATGTCATCTTCGCCACGCTCATTGAGATGGAAATCCCGGATGAGAGACGAAAGGGCAATGAATTGCTAGAGGTGAACCATGGAGAAGTTGACGGTGATCTTGATCTTGGAGACCCAAGCACCCGCATGAAGAGGATGTTTGGCTCGCATCCACGCCATCTCACGCCTAGCCTGGACGCTGCCTGAAATATGCCTGGTACTTGTTTTGTTTGTGTCCTGAGAGAAAGAGTGCATGCCTGGCCTGGCTGGTGGAGAGTTGTGATTAGCCTAGTCAAGTGGAATAAAAAAAGAGAGGAAAACATGCATGACCCAGGCAGTGGGATTAGCCTGGTCCCAAGCGTCCAATTCTTTCGCCTGGACCACGCCGCAGCATGCCTGGCTCCCACTTAAGGTTTTTTAATTGCTATATGACGCAACAGCAGGGCAGCAGCATGCCAGGGACAAACCAAACACCCGGATGCCAGGCTAGCCTGGACAGGCACAAAAAGTTCACCTCACCAGGCCGACACCAGGCATGGAAATTTTCTAGGCAAGGAGCCCAGGGAGCGAACCAAACTAGCCTGAAGTGCCTCCCTCACCTCGATGCTTTTCTTTGCGTATGCTTCATAGATAAGGGGGGCGGCACCATTGCCCACCTTGATGGTGGTGGAGGGAGCTCGCTGGAACGATTTGTGGAGTTTGATTTGATCGACCATAAGTCTGTGCAAAAGGGTACAAGTTGGGTGTTATTCTATGTGGTTGTTGGGTTGTGTGGAGTGAAGAAATGCTAGAAGACACGGTGAAAGAAATGTATGAGTGCAATATAGTCTGTTAAATGGGTAATTGGTATTGCAAACATGGGAAGTGAGAAGAAAGCAAAAATGCCCAAAACAACATAAAGATGGCAGCCACCTGACCAGAATGTGCTCAAACTAAATGTTGATGCACAAACCCTTAAAAAAATGTTGATGCACAATGTTTCAGAGCAAGCAAGACATGGGGGTACGGGGCTGGCAGTTCGCAACCATGCTGGAATGCCAGTGAGAGCACATAGAGATGGCATGAGTTCATACCCAACGCACGTAAAATGAATTTTTTCTGAACATACGTAAAATGAAAACTTATGCAACAGAGATGGTCCCTAGCTGGCTATTGAGTGCTGACCTAGGATTTGATCATATTATGCTCAAGAGCGATACTCGAGCTATTGTTAACTTATGCAACTCTATAATTTCGCACGAGTTCACTAGCTTTCAGTTACTTTATTATGTTACTAATAGAGAGGCCAACGTGGTTGCTCACTTTTTTTGCGGGAACGTGGTTGCTCACGTTGGGCCCATCAAGCTAGTGACTTTTTTTTTGCATGATAATACATGTCTCATTCATATCATAAAGAACAAAGTACAAGTGACCTAAGGACCGATATGACAAAACTGAAAAGATAGTAGAGCATCTCTGAGCCCGTCACCTGCCTCCGGCACCACCATAGCAGCCACTGAAGAAAAGAATGACGGATCACTGATAACCCACAAGTATAGGGGATCGCAACAATTTTTGAGGGTAGAGTATTCAACCCAAATTTATTGACTCGACGCAAGGGGAGCCAAAGAATATTCTCAATTATTAGCAGCTGAGTTGTCAATTCAACCACACCTGGAAACTTAATATCTATAGCAAAGTAATATGATAGTAGTGGTAACGATAGCAAAAGTAATGGTAGCAAAAGTAACATTTTTGGGTTTTGTAGTGATTGTAACAGTAGCAGTGGAAAATTAAATAAGCGAAGAACAATATAGGAAAAGCTCGTAGGCATTGGATCGGTGATGGAGAATTATGCCGGATGCGAT